TGTTGCCAAAATAATCTTTTGATTGTTTTCCTGATTTATTGCAGAAAAAGCAAAAGCACACTAACTTGATCTGTATTTTCATGCTTCTTGTAGGGTAGCTTCCCTGCAAGAACAAAGGAAACCTAAAGTGTCTTTAGTCAAAGTGTAAAGCTGGCTTGCCAGCTCTGAGTTGGGAAATACTTGGAGATTTTTGGGGTGGAGCCTGAGCGGTGGGTGTTGCCTTCTGACACACTTCTGGTGATGTCAGAGGGTGTGGCATATGCAAATAAGTTATGCTAATGAGCTCCTGCACCTCTTTTTCTACTAAATGACCCCTGGCCTAGATAATACAATTTCATCATACATTGCCACACAACCCATATGTAACCAATCAATACAACTGTGTTGGTCATAATGGCCAGCTATGCACCAGTGCATCAGCAGTACAGAGCTAATCTATAGATAAGATGGTATGTATTTACTTAGAAACTTTACATGCCGTCTCTCCAGAGACCTGCTTAAGGCAGTTCACAAAGTAAAATAAAACAAAACAAGAAAAGAGTGCAAAAACTACCAACAACAATCAAGGCAGGGGGCATAAAAACAGCACAGAATAATATTCAATTTTCCTGAAACAGTCCTCAGGTTAAAAGCAGACCATAAAACAAAATACGATAAGAAAAAAGAAAAGACAAACCTGAATACATATGTATGAAAAATAAAAAATAAAAAATGAACTAATTATATGCATATTTAAAATTTTTATAAATATATGTGTATCATGTAACAGGACTTTAAAAACCTGCTTTTAATTATGGCATGCCATCAAGAAAAATACAAACATATTTTGACAAACTTCTTTGTCCCTGGTTAAAATCAGACATGCAGACATATTAAGTGTGGAGCCAAGTCAGGCCTGCACATTATAAAAAAGTAATAAAAATCCTTTCATAAAGTAGTTGTTAACTATAAATTGAATCATAAAGTCAGACTTGCTCTCTTGCTTGGCCTCCAGCTCAGTAGGATTTTGGAATGAGTATGCTGTGTGGAGCCAGGCCTAGATTAGATACAGGATGCCTGAAGATTTTGTTGTTGTTGCTTGGTTAATTTATTTACATACAAAAAGCTCTGGGGATGAGAGTTTTTAAAATTATTATTTTATTTGAGGGTGAGGATTTTTAATATTATTCATTTGAATAGTATATATTACATAAAGCATGAATTCAGTATATGTTCTACAGATACAACAACATACATTAGTTAGTACTATGTTAACCAATAACATCTATAAATTTTATAATAATAAACTGGAATTAAATAAAACCATTTATGCTCTTTGAGGTATTCCTTAAATTGTAAACATGAGTGAGATTCGCCTCCTACTTACTAAGTATATTATTGAACTGAAGGTATAACAAAACAGGATACTATTTGTCATGCAATGTAGACTGATAATCAGGATTCTCCATTCCTCTTATTTGGGGATGAGGCTTATTACTTTATTATGTGCAGGCCTGACTTGGCTCCACATTCACCATGTAAGGGTTGTACCCTCTGATCCCTGTGGGTCTCTGGTTCTAATTCTGACCACTGATGATTAACCACTGATGAAGATGTTTGTTGAAACGTGCTTGGTTTTACTTCTCTGCTTATGAGCATTTTCAGTATTACGTATTCAGTTTTACGTATGCACATGTATTTATAAAAGATGTTTGCACTTTTGGGGGAGTTGATGTGTTTTGTTCTTCATAGATATGTATTCAAGTTTTTAAAATTGTGTTTGCACACATATCTTTTTTTTGTTTTTCTGCAACCCACAAGAAAAGCCCTAACTTCCCCCAAGCCTCTAAACTGCTCAGGGCATTGAAAGAGAGTCACCATCCTCTCTGACTCGCTCTGGGTGTCAGCAGAAGATGGCAAATGAGGCTTTCCAGAAAGATTAAAAAAAAATAGGAGGAAGGAAGAGAGGAAGAAGAGTGTGATGCCTTGAAATACCAGTGGGGACCCCTCTAATTGCTCCTGAAAATATTTTCTAAGCAGCTGATCAGTTGCTGGGTTGGGCTACATGCCAGAAGTCAGCCTAATTTATTTGTCATTTTTCAAACAACAACAAAACAATATTCTGCTTGTTCATGCTGCGTGTTTAATCACTTGGCAGGCATGTGGAAAATGCCCTAGACTAGACTAGCACCTCTGAATTTCTACCTTGCAAAGAAGGCAGCTTGACAGTTTAGAGAGGGAGAGCCGGAGCCAGAAAACAAGCAGGAGGCTGCAAATAAACAGCCGGCAGCATCCAGTACCTGTACTGCGTGAGAATCCTAATGAACACTGTACTCCCCTGTATTACAACCTGGTGCAGCCTTCCTTGGCAGGCCCAAAGTTCAGACCATTCTAGGCACGGATACACAGGAGCAGCACTCTTATCATAAAAGGCTCTCCAGATAAAGGGCCACATGGTGTACAAGCAGTGAACTGATGAGAGCTCCTACAGTGATTGTAGGCTGCCTCAGTAATGTCAGCTGAAGGAGGAGAGTGGCAAATACTTAAACTGCTTCTATACAGGGATTTCCCCCGATATGAGCCCTGGGGAATAAAGGGCTGAGATGAGGCCATGCCCAGTAGGGCTCCCCCCACCTCCCTTTGCATGAGAAAAAAGAGAAACCAAATCATTTTCTCCAGCACTACCGGGTGGCTGCAGGTGGAGTACCTGCCTGGATTACAAGGGAGGGGGACAAAGAGCTAAGCTCTGCTTTCATCATAGCTCAGGACATTTTTTTCTTGCCTTGCCAAGTCCCCTCATGACATTACAGCATGGCTTGGTGTGGAAGGTAAAAAAGGTAAAGATTCCCTTGCTCTGGTGGAAAACACTGCACTAGTTCAGACTCCAGTTTCAAAAACTGCACAAGGGGAAAACCAAACCCCACCTACAAACAAAAAATTAACAATGCAAAGAGAATGGATTCTAGCTCAGCCCTCTGCTTGCTGTGAAGGGTTGCTATTTGCAAGGGTTTTTTAAAACAACAACAACAACACTGTTCTTTGAAGTTAAAACTCTCTCTCTTGCAAAATAAAAAAGATTTTGATTCAAGAAGGGGCATAGTATTTCCATACTGCAATGAACAGGGGGTCCTTTGTTGTAAGGGGAGCCCCATATTTGTATCAGAGTTCTACCATTTGCAACAAACTGATGGACTGGAGAGTGAACGGCTTTTGAAAATATCCACAATTGAGACTTGCTCAACATGTGCTGGAGAATGTAGTGGTGGAAAACACTGCACTAGTTCAGACTCCAGTTTCAAAAACTGCACAAGGGGAAAACCAAACCCCACCTACAAACAAAAAATTAACAATGCAAAGAGAATGGATTCTAGCTCAGCCCTCTGCTTGCTGTGAAGGGTTGCTATTTGCAAGGTTTTTTTAAAACAACAACAACAACACTGAGGCTCCTTTATAAATGTGATCATCCATCTGAAGTAGTACAGCATAACCTAGCTCCTGTGCATTTTGCCTTTTCATTCTGCTGCTCATGCACTGAAGATTCAATCAGATATAAAGGTGAAATCTCTGTACCTGTACCTCTGAACACAGACCTGTCTCAAGCAGATCTGGTGGGTGGAAGTTTTGACCTTATGGACAGCATATGTAGACCTATATGGTGGAAATGCTTTCTTCTTCCCCTTTCTTTTTTGGTGTGTGTGTGTGTGTGTGTTTACAAAGCATCACTAGCAAATTCAAGGAGTACGGAGACTGGATCTGGAGTACCCACCCTGAGGCTGATGGATCATACAGGATTTTCCTTATTTCCTGCATTTGTAGTGGCTGATAAAGATCAGGACCATGGTGCATGTGGAAAAGGGACTTTTGCATTATCCCCATGCATTATCCTCAGCCTAAAACAGTCGTGTGTGTGTGTATGTGTGTGACTGTGTATATGTATGCTATTGGGTCCTTCAGAGAAATCCACATGCGCACCAGGGGACATGGGGCTTTCCCCAAACAGTACCCCAGGTTCTGTTTCAGGGTGGGAAAATAGGTATTGTGAGCACAGAGAACTGAAGGCAGATCTCCCAAGCAGGATTCAGCCTTTGATGAGGCATCAGCGGACAGATGTAGCTTCCCCCATTATGTCACTGTTGGGGAGGGATCATGAGGGCCTAATACAAAGAGGGTGAGAGTCATGCTACTTGGAAGGGAGGAATTGCTGTTTCCCTCTTTTGTTGTCCCTTTCAACATGTTTTACAGGTGTGTTCAAACATGGGAGACCAGGTCCCCTCGCCACGCCAGCAGGGGGGTTCAGGGAGCGTTCCGGGACGTTCCCCGATACAATGACATCACCCAGAAGTGACATTATCATGTTGGCAACATTGCATGGGACACTCTAGTTCGAGGGCCAAACTCTATGGCTTTGGCCAGCGGCGAGCTGAAGTCCCAAAAATTGGGAGAACCCCCACAAGGACCTGGGGAATGGCAATGCAAGTTGTGGCACTGAAACTTT